TTTATTTTGAAAAACATATAAGAATTCTCTCTTATTTTAAGGGCTGCTAGTACGTGTGTTGGGGTTGTGTAGCAAATAGAGCAGCAAAGGATGAGGCAAAGGGAGAGGGGTTATGGTGGTTGTCAAAACATATATTTGCATCCAACATGGCGTGAATCAGTTTCAATTGCATTCAACCTTATTTTTTAAATTTTCTCATGTTATTTTATTTTATTTTTTATTTTTATCATGGGAACATTCTAAGCCATTTCATGGTATCCTTGGCCGCACAAGCAGTGTGTACGACGCCACATGTTCGTAGATGGTAAAACATGATTATTAATGGGAAAAATGAGGTTTTGGGGGTGAACTTGAAGCTGATATTTAGCTGAAGGTCTAGCATGTCATGATGATGGCTGGCTAGATCAATTGGATGTTGGTTTGAGAGGAGGGCATGGAGGACGTCGAAGGGATGGTTCCAATGGAGCTGTGGTTGTGGTTTCCAATTCTTTGAGGTGAGTTGGGAGGGTTGAAGTCTGCAGAGTTGAGACTGAATCAGCTGAAACAGATAGCAAGGTAAGGTGGGGTGGGGTATGAAGTACCAATCTGATCATTTAAATTAGGATAGATTAGTCATTTTCTAGTTATGATCTAGCTAATTTGGAATTTTGGATGGATATTTCAGATAAAATGTAATTATTAAATCATGAGGATTTGCTTTACTCTTTTCATGAGTTGATTCTACGAAGTACTTAATTATCTATCCTAAATATATTCCCACCATGATTATGTGGCTCTTAATGATGGGCTATTTGAGTTTTAAGCATCCCAAAGAGTGCCAGTGATTATTGAAATCATTGACATTTTTAATAAGGATTGCTAGGCGAATCCTATTGGGGACCAGCAAAACAGTAACATAAATCTCTTAAATGATCAAAATTCTCTCTACCTGGGTATGGGTGGAGCTAGTCCTGTTCTAGCAAAGAACAAATATAAACCTCTTTATCCTTTTTTATTATTCTTTTATTTTCATGCTGAGTGCTTTCGTTTGTATGCATACACACTTGTTCCATGGATCTTCTACTTGGTTGATGCTTGCCTGAAGTGATAACTGCGGAAAACAACATGCAGTTTATTCTGAATAATAGGTTGCTGCAATGCTAATGCTGAGTGCTTTCGTTTGTATGCATACACACTTGTTCCATGGATCTTCTACTTGGTTGATGCTTGCCTGAAGTGATAACTGAGGAAAACAACATGCAGTTTATTCTGAATAATGGGTTGCTGCAATGCATTGGAAAGTTTTAAAGGAATTCCGTGCTTCTGTCCATAACATAGAAGATGAAATATTTGAGGTTTCAAAAAATAGGTGTTCACCATTCTAAAATGCTGCATTTTTCACTAAAATTCCACCAAAAAAGTGAGTTGGACATCTTTTTTGGACTGTCTTTGAGTTTGAGAAACCTTGCCTAACGATTATGTTTGGAAAGCATTTGACTGTAAATGCGACTTTTGGGCATGAATTTGAATGAGATTTTCTTGCCATGTGTGTTTCTTCCTAAATAAGGGAAGGAACACTTTGAATGGCCGATCTTACTTTCATCTTTTATACTACCTTCATTGCATGAATCCATATGTTTAAATTTGCACCCTAAGAACAACAAGTCATTACGGGCAACCTGCAAGTCCTCCTAGGACATCCAAAATGGCCAATCTATTACCCATATAATCTATGAGTGACCTTTTTTCATGTGGTTGTGATAAATGGACCAATTTCCAAGGTTGTTACATGTTTGAAGTGTGATATGCGACAGCACAATTCTTAGGCTTTATGTTGACTATGGAAAATGCTGGCCTTGGGGGATCCCAAGTTGGATGAAGCCCAATCTGCACTGTTTCAGCCATGCCTCCTTTTGAAAGAGTAGTGCCACTAATCATGCCATACTAGTTTGTCTCTTAGGAAGAGAAGCAGTGAGATGGGGTGAATACCCTTCCATGCTTCATAAGGTTTTGGAGACGTTCTGATGTGAAACAATCAATAGGAGTTAACGAGAATTAAGAAGAGCAATTGTCAAAATTTTTTCCAATTACAAAATTACCGTTCACAACAATGAGATTTTACAAATTCGTAGTTTTTAAATTGCTTAGGCAAATGAGTACAATTTAGATTAACCAAGACAATTCAATCAAACTCCAAAAACAAGAGTAAAGTTATGAGCGCAATAACAAATTCCACAATTTAATAATGAGAGGTTTCATCTTGAGAACCTCCTCACTCATTCACTCGTGGGGTTAGCGGAAGAAGATGTTCCACACTAGAGAAGAGATTAGCACTAGTAAGAAGGAGCCCAAGAACTTCGTTGTTGGAAAGGTAGCCGGCGATGGATGGATTGGTTGGCGTCCCACGATTGTCCACGATCCGATTGGGAGGTGTTCCTCAATTGACGGTGCCACCGTGAAGATGATGCGTTCAATGTAGCTTTCTACGGAGTCGTCGACGTCCAAGTTGAAATTGACTGAT